GAGTGAGAGATTATGACAAACATCCAGAAAAGTCTTGTGATCATGCAGTCATGTCTGAAACTTCTCCCACACCGAGTGCAAGACAGGGTGGAAAAACCCTTTAATTCATAGTGTTCTTGTTGCAGTGAAACGCTAAAGATTTAAAACAAAAAATAAGGGCACATAAAGTGACACTGCTTGCTTTTTGCAAACTACTTCACAAAAAGCCCATTATGGATTATGCTCAAGTACACTGTTGTGTAAAATTTACTTTAGTAAATTTACTTGTTTCATGCTTGGTCATGCAAGTTCTGTAAGTGAGTGAAAATAATTCCACAATTTTTTTAGACATTTTTAGACACTCTAAGCTTTTTGAAAAGAAAATTATCAAATTGTAACACAGAGTGTGGTCAGACTGCTTTGTTACACACAAATACCTGTACACGTTTGTAAATCTTAGTTACGCTAAGAGATCAGAGGAGAAGGGTGGAGTGCCCACTCCAGGTCAGGGATGAGTTCCTCCTCCAAGTGGAAGAGTTTAAGTATCTCAGGGTCTTGTTCACGAGTGATGGGAGAAGGGAGCAGGAGATCGACAGACAGATTGGTGCTCTCAATTTACTGGTCAATCTACGTCCCTACCCTCACCTGTGGTCACGAGCTGTGGGTAGTGACTGAAAGAACAAGACTGCAGATACAAATGGCTAATATGAGCTTCCTCAGACGCGTGGATGGCCTCTCCCTTAGAGGGGAGGCCAAGTGGCTTCTTTCCACATGGAAAGAAGCCACTTGAGGTGGTTCGGGCATCTGAGAAGAACACCTCCTGGGGTGAGGTGATCCGGGCATGTCCCACTGAGAGGAGGCCCCCGTGCCTTGGTGTTCCCCCAAACAAGCTGAAGGAGGTGGGTGGGGAGAGGAGGTCTGGGCTTCTTTGCTTGGGCTGCTGCCCCGTGATCCGCGATCCAGTAGAGTTGAGTATGTGGGTTACGCCCATTAAAAACTTGCCAGATTTTCTAATACAATACCAAACAGCACATTCTGCTATTCACTCTTGCTTTGAGCTTTGATACCCAGGTCTCCAGTCATGTTCCTGATTGATACAAGTTTGATTTACTGAATACTAGCTAAGCAATCTAAGCAATCTACAGAATCTACAGAATCAACAAATTTCTCCAGTCAGCGAATGCTGCATATAATTTTATTTTTTGCTTGTTGCAACGTGCATAAAATTAAAGGTTAAAACTAATGAAACTAGTTTTGAATTTTTTTTCAGTTGATTCAATTTTATATCATGAAATATGCAGAAAAAATAGAATTGGGCTGAAAGGTCTAATGCTTCATAACGTATTCAGGTTGTGTATCATATTTTTTAAAAGTAACTAAGTAAGAAAGTAACAAATTACTTACAAAAATAAGCAATCAGTAAAGTAATGGGATTAATTTCTTGGAGACGTAATCAGTAATTAGTAAATAATTACTATTTTCAAGTAACTTGACCAACACAGGGTATTACCGTATGAAGTGGCAGATGTTAAAGAAACTGTTCGGCTACATGTCCAGTAGGTGGTGCAGACGACTGTCAGGATCCACTAATTCACCACAGTCAGAGTCTTTTGGATTACCTCTGCATCAGCTGAAGGAGTTAGTTTATTTAGTTTTTGGTTATGTCATAGAATAAAAAGGCCCACATTTGGAAGGATTTAAGCCCATAAATAAACAGCAGAAATATCCATGTATAGAAAACCTTTTTCTATTAGAAAAAATTCTAATAATGTATAGATACATATCAATACTCAATAACTCATTGTTCCACTTACAATAGCTGTAAGTGCAGCTTACCATGACTTGAGTGTTATCTCACACATCAACCACGGTAAAGCGTGTTATAGACAAGCCAGCCCACTGTGACCATTTCATGCTTTGCCTCTTTCAAAGTGTGAAATATACATGCATGCAAAAATTGCAGTAAGCTGTGGTTACAGCAGAGGGAGACATTTTATTTCAAGCCAAAGTGAAAAGAACCACAGGAAAGCATTTAAAAATGAAATTATTAACACATTTACAATTAAATATACATCAGCTGCCTAGCACTGCTCTGCTCACTACTGTGATATGGAGTTGCACACAAGTGTTTCTGTTTGCAACACTTTGCAAGATGTTGAAAGAGATGGAAGGAAAGATCTTACTGTGAACTAGCTCCGGCCTTGAGTTGAATTATTTCTTCAAGAAGTCACTTGGATGAGTGACGAAATGTTTCTCCCACACATAGGGTTTAGATAGCACCTCCTCTCCTGACTTAGCTTGTTTTTGTTTGTTATTTTGGCCTGTGTTCACCAGGGAGTTAAGTTTTCAGTGGAGACAAATAAACCACCGTTCACTTAATAAATTGTTTTTCTTCCCAAACCGTCACTTCCTTTTTAACCCTTATGCTACGTTCCTGTACCCCTAGACTGGGGCGTAACACATCTGAAATGAAAAGCCTGTAAACGTGTGTTCCAGCCTCCTGACTTTGCTGGCACTCGGTCTTCATACTCGACTCCAGATCTGGACTTGTGTTGAACTCGACTGAGGTGGTCTGATCAGACACAGCGCTGCTGTTGCTGCAGCTGTCCAAAAATCACAGACAAAGTCAGGAATGTTTTTACCTCGTCTAGCTGCTCTGTGTGTGTGTGTGTGTGTGTGTGTGTGTGTGTGTGTGTGTGTGTGTGTGTGTGTGTGTGTGTGTACAGGTCACATGACAGCACAGCATTTTCTACCCACAGTTTGAACTGAGCAAGAAATAACAAATGTATTTATTCAACTTACAGACAATAAAAAAACAAACAGAAATCAGTGTAAAATTTAATAACTTTTATTGATGTTAACTTTTTAAAAAGTTATTAAAAAGAAAACCCCAACAGAAAAACCCCTCTGAGCAAGCACTTGGCGACAGTGGGGAAGAAAACTCCCTTTTAAGAGGGAGAAACTTCCGGCAGAACCAGGCTCAGTGAGGGACAGCCATCTGCCGCGACCGTTCCAAGGGGTTATCACAATTTTTTTCTACAATGCATCAACCTTGTTTTGTCTCCTGGTGAAACAAAACAGTCGGCCTATAGATGAGAAAAACCGACGTATGCAACTTGGCTTCTTCGAAAGTTTGGCTGCCTCTTCTATGAAAATTTAACAATCGTATTGTCGACTGTTGGTTCATTAATTCCATGTTTTGCAGAACTACTTCTGCCTCTTGCCACTGTTTACACAGGGCTTTGAAAATCACCTTCTCAAAGTTTTTGAACTTCCTTAAGGGGATTTGATCAATTTCATCCCTGATTTTAGCCCAGATTTTTTCGCTAAGCCTCTTGTAGATGGTTAAAACTCTTTCTGGACTTATGACTTTACCTGATTTTTTATAACCCGCTTAACTAGTTCTTCCATACATGTTTCCACAAAAAATCGGTATTTTCTTTGTTTTGAGACAATTCATCCTTTGCTACCAAAGGGTGTTTTTGAATTGATTTTGCATGCTGGCTTCATGTTGAGCCGAGGATTTCTTTGGGGTTACATCATTTTCCAAAGAGGTTCCTGCTTTATCTACAGCCTGCGTGGTGTCACGGTTTTTCTTGTCTATTGGAGTTCTGGGCTCGTCAGATGTATCAATGATATTTGTGGCAACATTTCTGCTGTGTTGTTCACGTTGACTGTTGTTTTCTGTTGTTCAGGAGCTGTCTGTGTCTCCTTTGAGGCCACTGTTGTTGTGATGTTTTCTGTGATGTTGATCAAATCCCTTGTTTTCTGTAGAATCACAGCCTTAATGTGATCTGCCAGCGATGCATTATCCTCTGAGTTTTCAGGTGTTTCCATGGTATTTTGGATATTAGTGATAAGTGTGGCACCAGCGGAATTTTCTGCTGTGCTGTTCACGTTGACTGTTGCTTTCTGTAAAATAACAACTGGCACACAGATTAGATTTCCCATGATGCGGTCACCTGTGTTAGAGGTCTGTGCAAGTTCAGGAGCTGTTTCTGTCTCCTCTAAGGCCACTGTTGTTGTGCTATTTCTGGGATGTTTAACAAATCCATTGCTTGCTGTAGAATCACAGCCTTAATTTGATCTGCCAGCGATGCATAATCCTCTGAGTTTTCAGTTGTTTCCGTGGTATTTTGGATATTAGTGATAAATGTGACATCAGCGGAATTTTCTGCTGTGCTGTGCAAGTTGGCTGTTGTTTCCTGTGAAATATGAGCTGGCATTTCCGTGTTGCGGTCAACTGTGTTAGAGGTCTGTGCAAGTTCAGGAGCTGTCTGTGTCTGCTTTAAGGCCACTGTTGTTGTGCTAGTGACAGCAGTGTCCTGGCAAAACCTCAGTTCTGCACCTGCTGACAGTGAGCATAGGGCAATGACATTATCTACAAAATTACATAGCCTTCCTATGGTGGCATTTTCGGCGTAATCAGACCGCAACTGTTGCCACTGCTCATGTGTAACATTATTTAGCAATTCCTCTAGCAGTGGCCTAACATCATTTGCAGGAGTGGAATGACTCCTGACATTGTCTGGATTGCTCCTAGCTGTGTTGTTGTCCATTTTGCTTCAATATCTATTTGTTTGCTGTTAATGTCTTCTCTCTGTTTGTTAAAGCGAGCGTTAGAAAAAACAGAGTTGCAGAGGGCTATTTATAGGTTTTGTCTGTATGACGTCTTTGAAGCCCCGCCCACTTCAAGTGTGACGTCTTTGAAGCCTTTGATCTAAGCCCCGCCCACTTCGAGCAAAAAAAGAATGCGCTCGGAGAGTGTGGTTTGTTTGTCTCTCTCTCTCTCTCTCTCTCTCTCCTCCCCCCCCCCCCCCCCCCCAAGCTTCATCACAGCCTCCCATAATAATAACTTTAGTAATGGTAGCAGTTAAAATATTGTCTGGTTTCATTTGGAACAACGATAGTTGTTTCGTTTATCGTTGATTGTTGATCTATTACAGTCGACCAGGTGACAACAATCACGTTGAAAAATCATTTATTTGTAGTTGGCCGGAAACTAAAGCTGTTGTCTCTTGGACTATTCCGTAGCACCCACCCGAGTAGTCGTCCTCGTCCCTGCACTGCACGTCGATCTCAGGTAAGAATGTATTTATTTAGTCATTGTTTGAATGCTGAATTTGGAAAAACAGTCAAGATTGCTTGATATTTATAGTCTATTAAAATGTATATTATAGTATATTAAAATGTGGGGAAAATTTCTCAATAGAAATGTCTAAATATCATAATTTGGTTCCCAAGTATAAATAACATTTAAAGCTATCTTGGACAGAAGGAAAAGAGTATGTATTTCTTAGAAAACGCGAAATCTGCACAAACATACCATTTCATGTCATAATGTTCTTTCTGTTATAAAGCTATATTAGCAAAGGTGCTGTAAAGTTGTTAGCAGTGTGTCAGCTTGGTGACCTGCCACAGAGTACCTTTGTGACGTCATTCGCTATGCTCCAGATCGGATGGGTGGTGCAGGACGCCCGACGACTCTCATCTATATACAATTCCCAGCAGCAGACAACTCCAACATTCTGTATTTAATATTTGAATATATATTTTTTAATTTTCTGTCTGTGTGCCAAGGTGAGCTATGCACCTGTTTATTGTTACCTGCTGTGTCTCATGTTAAGAAAACATGTATGGTCAAAATAAAAACACTAGCTTTTAGTGTACAGGATGGATGTGAATGTTAGTGAACAAAACAGGCCTGCTGTATATCAGATGATGTGTATATTCTTAATGTTTTTATGCTTACAAAGCTCTACTCAAGTTTCTTTTAAAGTTTTTGCTTGCATTTCCTACACAAATGTCAAAATAATAAAAAATCTTTGTGCACTGATACATGGTCTCACATTTTTATCTATTCAGCTGCTGTGTGATGCACACCAGTGGTCCTCACTGCGCAATGTTAAAAGAAAGGCTTCATTTTTATCAGCTGGTTTTCACATAGGCCAAACATCTCTAAGGATATTTCTCCATTGTCTATAAATACATGTCAACAACATGTAGCAACAACTACTACTGATTCATACATGTCCATCACTTTGGATGAGTGCATGTTTTTTTGCACACTGTCATCCTGTGCACTGTTCCAGCATGATTAGACCTTAGCGATGAACCTTGTTGCCAAAAAGCAAAGCCAGTGGGAGCAACATCTTCCAGAGCTAAAGCTCCGTTCACCAGCACTACTGGTGAGCCTTGTCTATAACAATGCCATGTTTACATCACATACCAAATGTAGTCATTTTTTTAAAATTAACAGAATGATATATAGGATGTGATACTGATTACATAGTACTGATCCTCACCTGAGTACATTTTGTTTTATAATTTCCCTGAGGTCCAGAACATCTCCATCATAATGATCATATCTTGTTTGGGGATGCTGCCCTGCCACACAGTTTGTAGGCCTCAAAAACCTGTTGATCTCAGTACACCTGCAGATTCAAGGAGACATACTTTTACAGGTGACAGTATGTACTAAAGTATATGTAATTTAAACTTTTTCATAACATTATGAAGTTGTGTGATATGCGAGTGAGAGATTATGACAAACATCCAGAAAAGTCTTGTGATCATGCAGTCATGTCTGAAACTTCTCCCACACCGAGTGCAAGACAGGGTGGAAAAACCCTTTAATTCATAGTGTTCTTGTTGCAGTGAAACGCTAAAAGATTTAAAACAAAAAATAAGGGCACATAAAGTGACACTGCTTGCTTTTTGCAAACTACTTTCACAAAAAGCCCATTATGGATTATGCTCAAGTACACTGTTGTGTAAAATTTACTTTAGTAAATTTACTTGTTTCATGCTTGGTCATGCAAGTTCTGTAAGTGAGTGAAAATAATTCCACAATTTTTTTTAGACATTTTTAGACACTCTAAGCTTTTTGAAAAAGAAAATTATCAAATTGTAACACAGAGTGTGGTCAGACTGCTTTTGTTACACACAAATACCTGTACACGTTTGTAAATCTTAGTTTACGCTAAGAGATCAGAGGAGAAGGGTGGAGTGCCCACTCCAGGTCAGGGATGAGTTCCTCCTCCAAGTGGAAGAGTTTAAGTATCTCAGGGTCTTGTTCACGAGTGATGGGAGAAGGGAGCAGGAGATCGACAGACAGATTGGTGCTCTCAATTTACTGGTCAATCTACGTCCCTACCCTCACCTGTGGTCACGAGCTGTGGGTAGTGACTGAAAGAACAAGACTGCAGATACAAATGGCTAATATGAGCTTCCTCAGAAGCGTGGATGGCCTCTCCCTTAGAGGGGAGGCCAAGTGGCTTCTTTCCACATGGAAAGAAGCCACTTGAGGTGGTTCGGGCATCTGAGAAGACCACCTCCTGGGGTGAGGTGATCCGGGCATGTCCCACTGAGAGGAGGCCCCCGTGCCTTGGTGTTCCCCCAAACAAGCTGAAGGAGGTGGGTGGGGAGAGGGAGGTCTGGGCTTCTTTGCTTGGGCTGCTGCCCCCGTGATCCGCGATCCAGTAGAGTTGAGTATGTGGGTTACGCCCATTAAAAACTTGCCAGATTTTCTAATACAATACCAAACAGCACATTCTGCTATTCACTCTTGCTTTGAGCTTTGATACCCAGGTGCTCCAGTCATGTTCCTGATTGATACAAGTTTGATTTACTGAATACTAGCTAAGCAATCTAAGCAATCTACAGAATCTACAGAATCAACAAATTTCTTCCAGTCAGCGAATGCTGCATATAATTTTATTTTTTGCTTGTTGCAACGTGCATAAAATTAAAAGGTTAAAACTAATGAAACTAGTTTTGAATTTTTTTTTTTATTTGATTCAATTTTATATCATGAAATATGCAGAAAAAATAGAATTGGGCTGAAAGGTCTAATGCTTCATAACGTATTCAGGTTGTGTATCATATTTTTTAAAAGTAACTAAGTAAGAAAGTAACAAATTACTTACAAAAATAAGCAATCAGTAAAGTAATGGGATTACTTTCTTGGAGACGTAATCAGTAATTAGTAAATAATTACTATTTTCAAGTAACTTGACCAACACAGGGTATTACCGTATGAAGTGGCAGATGTTAAAGAAACTGTTCGGCTACATGTCCAGTAGGTGGTGCAGACGACTGTCAGGATCCACTAATTCACCACAGTCAGAGTCTTTTGGATTACCTCTGCATCAGCTGAAGGAGTTAGTTTATTTAGTTTTTTGGTTATGTCATAGAATAAAAAGGCCCACATTTTGGAAGGATTTAAGCCCATAAATAAACAGCAGAAATATCCATGTATAGAAAACCTTTTTCTATTAGAAAAAATTCTAATAATGTATAGATACATATCAATACTCAATAACTCATTGTTCCACTTACAATAGCTGTAAGTGCAGCTTACCATGACTTGAGTGTTATCTCACACATCAACCACGGTAAAGCGTGTTATAGACAAGCCAGCCCACTGTGACCATTTCATGCTTTGCTTCTTTCAAAGTGTGAAATATACATGCATGCAAAAATTGCAGTAAGCTGTGGTTACAGCAGAGGGAGACATTTTATTTCAAGCCAAAGTGAAAAGAACCACAGGAAAGCATTTAAAAATGAAATTATTAACACATTTACAATTAAATATACATCAGCTGCCTAGCACTGCTCTGCTCACTACTGTGATATGGAGTTGCACACAAGTGTTTCTGTTTGCAACACTTTGCAAGATGTTGAAAGAGATGGAAGGAAAGATCTTACTGTGAACTAGCTCCGGCCTTGAGTTGAATTATTTCTTCAAGAAGTCACTTGGATGAGTGACGAAATGTTTCTCCCACACATAGGGTTTTAGATAGCACCTCCTCTCCTGACTTAGCTTGTTTTTGTTTGTTATTTTGGCCTGTGTTCACCAGGGAGTTAAGTTTTCAATGGAGACAAATAAACCACCGTTCACTTAATAAATTGTTTTTTCTTCCCAAACCGTCACTTCCTTTTTAACCCTTATGCTACGTTCCTGTACCCCTAGACTGGGGCGTAACACATCTGAAATGAAAAGCCTGTAAACGTGTGTTCCAGCCTCCTGACTTTGCTGGCACTCGGTCTTCATACTCAACAACTGAATTCTAAGGAAGACCATTCAGGTGGTAAAATACATCTTAAGTAAAATGCTGATGGCCAATCACAGATTGTCAAGTGTAAAGAGTGTCATTTCCCAGAATTTTTTGATGATACTGTGTATATTCATCCAGTGAACGTTCTCTACTGCAGTGTTTCCAGTGAACTAAACAGCGATGACGTGAAGATTTTGTTTTCCTTGGATAAGAACAATGCATTAAAACGCTGAATTCCACTGAGTTTTGTCCAGTCTCTTTTCAAATCTTACATATGCATATAAATAAAACCAAATATGTTTTGCTGTCCACAAAGTTTTAGACTTTTTTATTGTTTTTAATACCTGTCTTCAAGCTCATACTTAAAATATGAATTTCATGCACTCACTGAGGATTGTGTCAATGTCATGTCCCACAGTGTGCCATGCTGAGCTGAATGCCATAGTGAACGCAAGCGCGAATGCTGATGTGAAAGGCTGCACCATGTATGTGACTTTGTTCCCCTGCAATGAGTGTGCAACGAGTATTATGATGTGAGGTGAGTTATAAACCTGGTATGCATTTGCCTATTGCCCTCTTCCTTGTATGCAGGAGATGTGGAGCTGGTTTAGCATGCCCACACACCCTGACATGGGAAGAAAGACAATGGAAAACTAAAAATAAGAGTTATTGAGTAGATTTGTATGTCCTTCACCTGTTGAGCAAGTGTCTCTTATCTCTGCTTCAAGTTCTTTACAGAAAGAAAGTTATTCTGTGTGTCAACCACTGTGACAAGATGTTCATCTTGAATCTAGTTGTCAGTGTCAGTACAACAAAGACAGTCATATTCTGAAACCAAAAAAATAATGACAATCTGAGCTATGCTAACTTTGTGTTATTTAAATGAAAGAGGTTTGATAGATTTAAGCACTGTGTTGGACTAGTGCACAGTAGCTACGGTGTTCATGGTCAGATTTAGGTTATGTTAAAACAGCAGATATTAATATGAATTTCAGCTGATGATGCTTAGATGCATTTACTGAATTCCACCTTTATACAAACTTGATAGGATTTAGTGTAAAGACAGTATAAACAGTATACTGTAAATGTAGGGGATGGAAATTAGCGAAGACATGAAAATCTGCTTACATCCTGTTGAATTCAGTTGTGCAAATCCACAAAGCGCAGTAAACCTCATAGCAGCAGTAACACAGTAGATGCTGCTATAAACTACTATAAAGATCACAGTGAGTTGTGATTCTTTTTCCCCTGCTGAATTTTCATTTCCTCACCTCCCATATCTCACTTTAGCCCAACTGAACTCAGTTTCCTGTTTAGGTGTTGAGCCAACGTCACCCTCTAGAATGTAGGCAACGAAAAAGAAAGTGTTTTTTATAACTGATTCTTTTTTTTTTCTTTTTTTTTTGTCCCGTTTGGATCTACAGCCATCAGAATTGTTGTCTTGAGGCCAAGAAAGATGCCAAGCGGATTTATTTTACCAAGTGGATCGTCATGGCCTTGCCATATTAGTCCATTTGATTGACCTTTATTATAATTATGAATTTATTTTATTTTCAGTTGCTACAAACGGGACAGACATGACTGTGGGATAGGACAGGGGGAAAGAATGAAAGAAAGAGAGGGAGAGAGAGAAAGAAAACCAAAGGGGAGAAAAGACGGCGAGAAGGGGGGGAAGAGAGAAAAAAAACAAACAAACAAAAAAAACAAAACTCCTGGGTCACCTGTATGGAGAAAAAAAAAACAGAGGAGACAGCAAACAACAAAGAGCAACATAATAAG